AACACCTATTCCCAACCCACAAAGGATTGAGGACACCTTTAGGATAGCAAATGCATGCCTGTTATCGCACTCATTGAGTGGGTAAACTAATTGATGACCCGTCGTCTTGAGAAAGGAATGAGTCAGTGAACGGTTCCGTAGGTCTTCTACTCCCGCATCCAACTGTGTGAACTAGTTGCACGACAGCATTAGGATAGGTTCAACTGGCTTTCCTTGAGAAGATGGCTTTCCGTATCACTGTTCCACAATTCTGACCACTCGCAGAATTCATGGCGCCTCGAAGGTACGGGAGATGAACTTTATAATATGTCCCCTCCCCACTAGCAAACAGTGTGCATAAAGGGACATGGGCGCGAGTTTGTACACAATCAGTTTTCATTTTGCCTGAAGCAAAATAGTTCGTTACACCACCTTGCGCAATTCCAACCGATGCGCATAAAAATAGTGATTTGGTGCAAAGTAGACGGCCACCTTCTGCAGAATGCACGCAGTTATACAGAAGGAAATCATCAGTTTGTAGACAAACTCAAGCATCGCCGTTGTGCTGCGTGCTCCTTACTGCCTTTGCCTTGCTGCCACAGCTCCCGATATCTGGCAAGATGCAACTAATGTACAACTAATGCACATGTGAAGTGGAGGAGCTCCGTGCCATTGCGTCTTTCTGTCGTGGAGCTACATACTGGAAAATGTTCAGGGAGCTACGAAGCATGAGCATGCGCCTTCTGTACATTTGGTTCTCCTAATCTGTAGAGATCTCCCCATGTAGGCTGCTGTATAGCACTCATTCACTGGGGGTCGGTGAGCTAATCAAACATGTAATCTCTACGCGTTCTTGACCTGCTGCTCGCATCGCGGTTTTTCCCCTTACGCCTAGACCAAAAACATTTCCAAGACGAAATCGTCGGTACGTCTGGTACCAGTTGAATCTGCCGACAGCTCCGCCGGAAAGGCACGTGTTATAACTTAGACATGCACACGAATTGCAGTCACTAATAGTGAAGGGCGTGGGTCAGAAACCCGTTCCGCCTGTTTTGTGCCCGCCTCGTTTTTGCAGGATAGAGGGTTGCTGCCCCTTTCTGCATCAATCTTTCTGTTCTTTCTTGCCAAATGCAACCCTAATGTAACTATTGAACTCACCGTCCCCAAATATGAACATATGGTCCAAATTCTTGAACGTCTTCACCTCAAACGTCGATGCCCAACCTGCGCAAACTGAGAGAGACCGGAGAGGAACCGTGTCATCCCCAACGTCGAGTACTCTGCATACACACAGGCAGGCACAATACGAGTGGATATTGCGTAGATGCAACGTCAACGTAAATCGTGCCCAAAAGGCAACGCAAGATAACCAGCCGCCAGAAACGCACTCAAAAGCCGCCCTCTATCTAACTAGAGGCATTCATGCCCCTGTCCTCGCTTCCGGCAAGCGATGTGTCCATCTGAAACAGCAGCTACTCCCGTTGTTGGCTCTAGTCAGGGCTTGTCTAGTGCTCTCTTACGGGACGGGTTTGCGCGACAGGTCTGCGCCTGTGTAAATATAGCCGACATCAGTAGAAGGAAAACCGAAAACGCTCCAAATGCACCTAGTAGGAACCTACGAAAGGATACACTCAGCAAAACCGCAAACACCCATAAGCTTGTTATTTCTCAGACGGGATGAGGTTGCTTGCTTTTAAGCAAACAGCGTATCCTCTAGTTCGGAAACTGGGATAAGTTCGCAAGTGTGGCTTTTCTCCCGGTGATATATCAGGTCCTTTGCTCTCAAGCAGCCCCCGAAGAACACCCAGATGCCTCTCACCCCCGGGTCCTTCAAGATCCCCTGCATATGCTGTTTAGCTGTTTCCGCTCGAAGTCGCAATTCTGGAGGCAATAGAGCTGTCCAGTTCCCCAGGGTGTAGACTACTTCTTCCAAGTCTTCTGCTTCTTCGGCCAGCAAATGTTTTATTCCTGCCATCCTTTCCTGCGCCTCTGCTGCGTAATGCCGCACCTGCTGCGTCCGCTGGTCGACCTGAGCACTGATCTCTTGCACCAATTCTTCCCGTGACTGTTGTGTCTTTGGCAACCTTCCATCACCTTCTGTCCTTCCGTTTCCCTGCGCAGCCCACTTCGCCGTTTGCGCCCCCCATTCGGCCGGTGGTGTTGCGTCCGCCAGTCTCCTGAACTCAAGATTGCGGCCGTTTGCTTCCATATGCATCTGGGCTTTTCCATCTGAGCCTCCGCTCATGAAAGCAGAGAATGCCGGGGAAAAGGAACCCGACTTTTTCGGCTGCAACTGCCTTACAACCAAGTGATCTTGTCCATAGAGCTGAGTGGCAATGCATGTAGCAGAAATCCACACGCAATCCCAGCTTTCTTATCACGCACCGGTTGGAAGGAAGACCAGAAGCATGAGCACGCATGAAGCCGGATTTTCATGCATTCTCGCACACACAGAATCTGTGGAATAGCTGCAGGTGTGGTCAGTTGTGAATGCCGGTCTGCCTTTCTTACGTCAATATCCGGCAGGAGGGCATAGATGGAACCAAGACTGCGGGAGAGGTCCCGCAAAATGTCCACAGGAATAAGGCTGATATCCAGAAGAGTCCAAAACGTCAAGTCAACCGGGTCATTGTAACTAGGATAAAGCCAGCACACAACTACCAGAAGCGAAAAGTGACAAGTTGTTTAAAAACAAGTTCTGGGAGTCTAGCGGTGCTTTACCGGCAAGCTGCTTTTCCCCTGTCGTTCTGCCTACCTAAGGGTGTGAAAAGCACTGATGGAGAAAGTACAGTACCCCTAAGCATATGCGCCTTGTGATGTGAAGTGCAACCCAAGTTCAACAGAAAGCTGCAAAAACCCCATTTACGAGAGCATCCGGTCTCACCCAGTAAGAAGAGCTTTGATGGCTTTAAAGCTTCCTCCCGTTGCTGGGGCGACGAGGGTGTATGAGTTGATGTATTTGTCCTTCCACTGCTGGTCCACCACTTTGTGAAGAAAATAATTAAAGACAACTGACCCTAAACTGTGCACTAGAACGTCCGCCTTCGCTCCCCCCATGGCCCCAACACGCGATTCAATTTCTGATTTCAGACGGCCAAAATCCATCTGCAGTTCAAACCCACACTGTCGAATGTCGTGCATCTCACCTTGTGCATTTACAATGTGTGCCTATGGGCCTGGTGTACGCCTTTTGCATGTCCACGTCCCGCCTCTCCCCGTATAGCCGCCCCCGTACACCAACACGACGGCACAACGAATGCACAGCCCCTGAGTACCCACCAGGTTGGCCCTCAAAAAAGTTAGTGTGTTTCGGACTACTGTGTGATAAGGACTCGGAAGCAACTCGCCTGCCACGGGGGAAGGCGCCAATCATACGGTATGCCTATGAGGGACGTGCCCTCTTGATATCCCATCCAATAAAAGGTGCGTAGCATCATGTGAAAGTAGGCTGTCCCAGGTACTCCAAACCGTTCGTTGTAGAAGTAGTCCAAATAATCGAAGCCGTGGGCAGTCCCATAGCTGTCGACCTGAAAGCGCACGAAGAAAAACTTGTCGCTAACACGCACCCTAGGCAGCTGTAGTTTGCCTCAGCCACTATACGCCAACAACTTGAATGGATGAAAGCAGTGAAAAGGTCAGCGAGGAACCATATCCGTATGCATTTCTACTGTCATGTAAATCCTTATACATGTCCGTAATGCATGGGAGCCGTGTAAAAGGAAGTGAGTGCGTAGGGGCATTCCACAGGCGTGTTAGCGTACTTCAACGTTGACTCCCTCCTTACTAGCGTAAATCTCTCCCTTCTCATCTGCAACTGGCTGCATGATGTCCATCCAACAGAGCTGGTGGGAACGCGGAGGTCTGACGAGGGACAGTGAGGCCCACACCCTGAATGGCACTGGAAAGGAGACGGGTGAAGAACTGCAAAGGGGAAGGGAAGCGTTTTTGGCACTGACCATCAGGCCGCTTCCTGCTATACCCGGGAGCATGAAAATTGGATGTGCAGGAGCACTAGTCGCGCACGCCGCCTCCCCTTCATTTCCCTGTTCAAGCCCACTACAGTCAAGCACAAGAGCTCCTCTATCAGCACACAAACCAAACAGCTGGTGGTTAATGAAGACGTGCCAAACAGAAAACAAGACAATGAATGATGCGCACCGCCGGAAGATTCCGGGGGCTGGCTGTGATATTTCCTTGGCAGCAGGCATCCCCACAGCAATGAATCCCCAAAACATCTAGACACGCTTCTCTGTCACCGCATTATGCTCATCGTTTCTGCCTAAGCAAGCAAAAATCTCCTGTTAGGGAGAAGACGCACGCGCCATGGAGAAGCGAGCTGTGCACTCAGAAGCCAACAGTAAAAAGGAGCAAAAAAATGCACACTAAAACAGGGCAGAAGATGAAAAATAGCCTTTTTGAAAGAGTTTACAGATTTTCCCGTTGTATTTGCATGCATTCCCCCAGGAAGCCTCTGGTCTGGTGTACAGACCGCTCCGGGGGAAGATGGACGCCTCGAAGTGCTCTGCAGTTGAGTGTGCGGCAAACGCATGGCAACACAGTTGACCATCGTGGAGTTTATTTACAAACTAATTAGAAATCTCCCTTCTTTTCAAGCCATTGGTGAAACAACGCACACTGCGCCTCCCCTCTTCCCCTGCCTACGGAGTCGCACACTTCCCAGTGGCTCTCCAGCAGCGGGTGATGCGCTTTGAATTCATTAATACAGTGAGGCGGATGGATGTGTATTGTTTCTAATGCATTAGATAACAACTCTGTTGTTAGAGGCGCACTGTGCAGCTTGTCTGCTAGGCCACCAGTCACCTGCATGCCCGTGTTGTGCGTCGTTCTATTTTCCTCCTTTTCTGCTAGGGCGCAAAGCAAACATGGCAGAGAAGGAAGGCCAGCTTTATGTTGTCGACGACATTTTGGCCTGCAAGAGAGTGGGGGGAAAGTTCTACTACCGGATACGCTGGAGTGGCTATGGCGCCGCTGACGACACTTGGGAGGGAAAAGAGTGTTTTACTGCATTGTCGCTTTCGTATTTTCTCCCACGACTTAATGCGCTAGAACAACTATGGCTCAACTCAGGAGCAGACAAAAGACGCAGGCAAGACGCTCCAAGGAAGCGGACATCGGGACGAAGCAGCGTACGCACGGGCAGACCGAAGGCAGGGAATAGTACCAAAAAGACAGCAGCAACTAAGCAGAGCCCGCCAACGAAATCCGAAAAACCGAAGAAGGGGAGCAGAAGTAAGAATTCACGAGCCAAGGGGAGGGTGGGGAGGCAGCGGCAACTCGCAAGTAGCTGATGGGCCAGCATTGACATTTTTTCTTTTGTTATTTGGACTCCCGACGATTGTGCTGTATGCAAGCACATCTGTACGTATGTTCTCCAGCTGGCACCAGTTCCACTTTGTCGGGTGGCAAGAGGCAGAGCAACCGCCGCATCTGTGCAGGTTCTACAGCCTCCTTCCGCTGGTGCACACGACGCCTCGTTGGCTTGTAAAGTACCTCGACACTACGAGAAGCAGGCAGAGAAATGACCATGCCAGGCCGTGACTGGTGCACAGGTGCGATTTGGATGTGAGCGAATGGCTGGACGTCATGGTAAAACAAGGATACCTTGAGGAGGGTGGCAGGTGTCGGTTTGAGTTTTGTTCTCCCTTCCAAAGCCCCATAAACTTATGGAGAGGCAGGTAGTGGGGATCTTCAGGGCCCTGAATGAATTTGTTGTTCCGCGGAAGTGTAAGTACTTGCGACCCATTGCTCTAAGGATGAGTTGTCTCTCTTCCTCTCGAGTGGCCTACTGTGACATGGAAGATGGGTTCTATCGTTTATGTATCCACTCCCTTTAGAAAGTATTTGGGCTTACGGTACAAGCAGAGGTGGTCCAGGTATTTCCTTATGCCGCAGGGGTTTCTCAACAACCCCGCGATTTTCACGCCGTTTATGAGTAGGATAATGCGGAATGACGTGCGAACTGCCTATTGCATGAATGATATCTTCGGATTTAATCTGAGTTCAGTTGAGTTGAGGCGGATACTTGAAGATCCGCCTCAACTCAACTGAACTGTGGTGCGGGGCTGCCGATCAAAGCTGCCAAAACAGCAGCCTTGTTCTATATGACGAGATAACAGTTTTGCGTGTTGGCGCGACGCGCCGAGATCGTTTCTGCCGCTTAGAGCCGCGGCACAAATCTACCAGGCAGGTGGAGTACACCATGCAGCATTTCCGCTAGCACGCGGCCAAGCGTAATGCCTGTCGCGTGGCTCGCTTCACTTCCTCGCCTCCTTTGTACAGGCATCTGCATTCCTGTATGAACTGCATTGGGCAGTGCGGGTGGGTGGAACGGGGGGGGGATGAGCACACCATGGTGTGAGTGTAGGTAGCGATGGGGTCTGGCGAGTGGCAAGGGGAGGAGCGCTCATTCTGTAGATGGCTAAAGCAATGACCTTACTGCCTTGTTAGAGGTTTCCGACCATCCTTCGCCGATTGGTTTGCTAGGTTGCACCACGGGGGACGGGCTTCTGTGGCTGTGGTGTTCCCTTTTCGCAAGAGTGACTGAAGTTTTTAACGCACTTCTTTTTGGTCCTTAAGCCAAAAACCGATAATCCAGAATCACTATGGTTGATACGCATGTTACGTTGGACCAGAGGGTATCGAAACGACCTGTGTGCCCTTATAGGTTCAGCAAGGTCGAACACGTACTCTCGAACCTTTAGTTGCAGGAAATACAATGCAAACGTTACGAGATTAGCACAGCTTTCTCTGCAGTGCATACTCTTCTTCTTGAGTGGTGTCGTTGTCTTTTGGGGCTGGCGTTCAGCCTCCACTGATCTCAAGAGAAACGATGAGCTGCCTCGGCGGTGGAGCTGAGCTGCAAACACGTGAAGGAGGAATTGTAGATCGCAGATAAAAAATGGTTGTGCGCGGGAACCGCGTAGGGGGAAAGATATGAGCCCCTAGACACTGATGCTGGGACAGTTGTTCACGTAAGGTTGCACGCTGACGCAATTTTAGCTCACGTGTGCATGCCCTTTCTTGTAGTCGCTGCAGCTGAATTGAGGAGAGCACATAAATCTTCCTGAGATAACGTTTCGTGCAGCAGATCCTCGGGAACCTTCTTGGGCTGTTGATCGCCTGGCGATTTGATGCAATAACATCTTTATATCTGGCCTCTATCGGTCGCTGGGAGCTCAGTCATCTCGACTTGCTCCTTTTCGCAAGCGCCCTGCTGCCATATTGTCGGGGGACGGAGGGGGATTTCGCTGGTTTTCTTTTGAGAGAAGCAAGATTGGTAGGATGGTGTCATTGTCAGGCTGGGGGGAAGTCTACGATGTGGGGCAGGCTTTAACCACAGACGGAACAGCAAAGGAGTCAATCAAAGCTTGGCAAACTGTCTCGGCAGTTCGCCCTGTTACAAGCTTACCAGCTCATGGTAGTCAGAAGAACCAAACTGGCCTGGTTAAAGTATTGCCGAGCGTCTTTTTGTCGTAGTTTCTCGAGCGGCATTCTGCTGTTTTCTTCCCAGGCTGATGCAAGCTGTGTATGAAATTATGCAACTGCAGGCCTAGGAAGATGGCTGCCAGCAAACACATCTACCGTCGGGCTAGACAAAGGTGTTTCCCTGTAAGCCATGGAAAACAGAGAAACAGAGAACATTGGGTCGAGGAATGGACTGCTGCATCATAAACCCGTCCGCCACAAGGGAGGAAACCAAGCCAGGTTGACGCATTTCGCTTGTTAAAGGCTCGCAAATACTGCATAAGCGCATGGCTGCTGTGTTCACTCTGACGGGCTGCCTTCAGACCTTTCAGCTGGGTTATGCTATGCTGGATATAACTCCGAATCATGAGTTCGCGCCAGAAGACGCTAACAAACTTCTGGTCTCTACAATTCGAAAGGTTCTTCGGAAAACTGAGGAGCTTCCAGAGATGGATAATGAATAGTTGGGAAACGCTCCCTACTCGGACAGGGGATGGTTTGGATATAGGGGCGGGGTGCGCCCACGACAACGAAGATGTTACCACACCGTCTGACTGATGGGAACTTCACGATAAAATTCGTTCAGATGCGTTTAGGGATGCGAAGAATCCACAAGATCCCGGGTGTGAGAGTCTTGCGTGGTTTCTGTTGCGAACTTTCTGACCAAATGAGGGAATACTGCTAAGCTGCGGGGCGCATCCTGTATCACCAAAAGGTACTAGCCCCTCTTTCCACTGCTGTGTGGACCCCACCGTGGCTCGGTAATGCATGATTGAGCTTTTCGAGCAGAGCCGTTGTGCAATGCGAAGCTGGAACGTAAATTCGGCGGATTCCTCGTTGCGTTTGGCACCGCATTATCAACATCGCACCACGACCCAGCTATCTGGGCCTTGGTGCGATGTTGAGCCTAGCAAGAATCGGACCCGCGTTAGTGTATAGGGAGTAAGAAGAGAGCAATTTAGGAAAAAAGCAAAATCTGGGCAGAAACGCGCAGCTTCACAACATGGCGCCTGGCTGATAGGAGCGCGGGAGGGTGCATCCGCGGCAACTTTACGTCTCCAATCACCATTTTGATGACCTTTATTGCAAGAAGTACAGATGCGCTGCTCGAAACCCCCCCAGGATACAAAATACCCTTTAGAATGCAAAATGTTTCTTCATCTCAACAAGGCCAACCCTGTCGCTCCTTAGTTTCCGCTCGTTGGCCCTGCTGGCTACGGACTGCCCCTTTCCCGGGCACAGGAAAAGAGGCTCGGAGCTCCCTGCAGATGGCTTCCAAGCCCGCCGTTGGACTTCTGTTCAACTAGCCCGATACTTCCGAATGCATCGCTTTATCGATAACCTGTTTAAGTTTTACCGTTTCTGCCGTCGGCTGTTCTCTTGTCGGGAATAAACCTACGTCGGAGAGCTTATCGGAAGGCTTCCGTAGTCCATATACGCTCCGGAACAACGACACACTTGCTTCGGTATTATCACTACTGTTTTGCATAGTAACGATGCTTCCAATAGCAACTGTATGGATGCATCTGCCAGGCTGTCAGGACAGATGTACAACGTCAGAGAAGCAACGACCTGCTCCATTGCCCGGGCATCGATGCGCGTCTCATGCGTGGACGGTCCACAAAGGTGGAGGCAATCTTCATGAATCGTTTTTGCTGTTAAGCCATTCTCCGCTGGGTGGGATACAGTTACTGAGCTGATCTCAAAGCGATGACGCTCCCAACAGTTAGCCCCTTCCCCTCCATAGGGCAGATCCCGATCAATCTCAACGATGCACAGGGAGAAATCGCCGGGTTTTTGCAGTACAGAACTTCTACGGACTTTGTCCACTGTTCTTAAACCAAAGTCGGTACTAGTCGCTCCGATGCACCAGGGCACCATTCCGTGAGGATGGAGGCTGTTGCACCTGTTCCAATGAGCCACACAGTACTACCTACCGAGTGTACTGAGTCCTCGACCATATCAGAGGAACGCCTCGAGCTGGGGTCGAGCCAGTTTAGACTTCTTAAAAAGTAAGTGATCTCCCTTCCAGTATCCAGCTGTTCTACGCCAAGCGGCATCAGGCCTCTGGCAGAGGCTGAGGGAGCGGGTCCGCATCGGTCGCTGCCAGCTCGTTGCAGCTCATGCTGCAAGGCAGCCCAGCATGCAATCATTAAAGAACCCCCATTTACTGCCTGCTGAAACATTGTAGGCAATTGTTATACTTCCGCTTGCTCGCATACAGTTCACTATGGCAAAGCGTACCTACACAGACCAACTCCTGACTGACCAGTCTACGCAGACACTACCGTGGAATCCCCAGAGCTATGTAGGCCTTTGCCAATTAAGTTGTAAATATACAGCATTATGCACTACTCAATGTTTGGTGAGCATATGATTCGTACTTTGCAGGGCGAAGCGCAGTCATTAACCAATGATGGCATCCAAACCCTGCTTCCCTTGGATACGTGGCAGTGGCGTCGCCATGGATCGGCTGGTTAGTCTCTTCTTCCCCGCTTGCCCATGTGCCTTTTGGCAAAACTACTGCAACAAATGTTCAAAAATCTATTCCTTTCGGGAAAAGATACTCCAATTCGTCCCTGAAAACCTCCAGAGAGCACGAGGGGGAAGGAAAGCCTTTGGGGCTTCCTGGGAGCTCGCGGAAAGGAGGGGAAGAAGTGGCTGGGTAGAACAGAGGATTAATTTTAGCGAGCTGCCAGGTTCTACTACGCAGTTTTTACTATAGAGCAATATGCATAGTTCGGCGCGCGGAAGAGCAGTGGAAAAATAGGTCGAACGCTGCTTTGGAGTCCACCAACCAATGCCAGCCCTCATGGCTGCGGGGGAAGGCAAGGGGACTCGTTTCTGGGTGCTGGGCCAAGAGCATAGGATGCGGCAGACCCCCATTTGCTGCTGTTTGTGACTTGCTTTATGTTGCGTTTTTCTGTTCCACAGTAGCCTTTATGGCTGCCTCTTTTCTCTCTGTTCTCCACTGAGCCTCCCCTTCTGACTGACCGCTCGCCCCCCCTGTGGCTGAGCTGTGGATACCGCTGCAGAGGCGGTGGGACCCGTGGTTGTTTTCCTTCTGCTCGAAGTTCTATTATTTATGCAAAGGGAAGGACAGAAAGGAGGGACGCGTTATGGGGAGGGGGCTTAGTCCCTTATCAGCTCTCCCCCCTCCCCTTCTTTGGCAATTCGTCTCTCGTTTTGGCAGTTTCTGTTCTTTGCGCTGCGCGTCGATGCCACGGGCCTCCCTTTTCCTCTTTCTTCTTTAAGGCACTTTCTCCGTCCTCCTGGCCGCTGCTTGCCCCGTCCATCTCTCCGCAGCGAGATGAGCCTTCGTAAGGCCCTCGTAGCGGCTCTTTCCACGAGTCTGTGCTGCAGCCTTATGGCTGTTGGCTCATCAGAAGCGAATTCCCCGTCGCTCCCTTCAGGCGTTGTAGCCTCTATTGCCGAAGCAGGAGGTAATGCTCCCCAAGAGCCCGAAGCTGACCCAGGGCAGCCTGGGGCTGGGGTGTTAGAGGCGGGGCCCCAGGGGGAGGAGCCTACGGACGAAGATGAACCAGTTGGCGGCCCGGAAAGTGCTTCTGCAGGGCCCAACCTGCGCAGGCTTAAAGGCCGCAGGAGTGGGATAACGAGGCATGGGAGATCGCACAAACCTCCTCCCCCATTGATTGGCCCTGGACTCGGTGCCCTTCTTCTGTAAGGCATGCGTTAAGCACCTAGGACCCTCTATCAGTAGAGTACCTTTCTGCTAGTATATTCTTCTACAGTCTATCTACGTTCTACTGTCTATGTAAATGGCTGCTTCAGCGTTTGCATTGCTGAGCGCGGCCGGAGAAACGGACGGACTGCCAACCCAGCCAACTCCGATAGATGCAAGCGGCAGCAGCGGCTGTGGCGTCTTTTGTTGGCTATCTATGCAAGCATGCACGTGTAAGGGTATTTATTGCACTGTATGCGCGCATATGTGCCTGCAGCGCTTTGGGTTCTTTTTTCTCCGTCGTCGGCCTATGGCGCAAGACGAGCGAGGTGTACCACAGCCCCCGGCAAGCCTTGCGCAAGGCAAAAATGGCAGTTTTAGGTGGGCATTAGAAACATGTCGAACGTGTGGGGCCGTGCTGCATGCATCGAAGATGTACATGCGTGCACCTTGTCAGCCAGCCAATGTACAACTGCCGTACAACTACGCTTCTCTTCGCGTGTATGTTTGTGAACTGCCTGTGGTTGTTGGATGAGTACTTCGACAAATTATGCACTGCACTTGCATTTGATGACTGCTCTGCACTTGAGTGCATGCGACAGCCCAAAGATGTATTTTGCAAGTGGCAGACCGCGGCATGTATGGACGCATGGATGAATATAAGGGTATGGGGTGTGTGCGCGCATGGACGTATGCTTGCTGCAGGTCAGGTACCGTACTCATGGGACGACTACGTTCGAGGATTGCCGGTGTTGGACGAGATGGAGTTTCCTGAACTTCGACCATTGCTGAGGCGTTTGGAAAAGAAGCCAGTGGTGTTGATGTCTGTGCCCAAGCCACGGCCCCGGTTGGCGTCATTTCTAGGGCTCACCGAGGCGCAGCGGGACGAGGGGATTGTAATAAAGGGGAAATCAACCGCGGGTTGCAGTGCCAAGGAGGTAGCGTTTGAACTGTTTGCGCACGAGAAGCTGGCCAAGGGGCTGCCGCTGACGCTGCCTTCTTTGGGAGCTTTCAGGGACATAGATGGCAGCACGTTGTACCTTATAACGCCGAGGGCCCGTGCAGACGTTTCTCTGTATACCCGGCGTATGCCAGACAAGGTGAAGCTGCGTCTGGCCTTCGCTGAGATGGTGTACGGTCTATGGGGCATGCACAAGGATGGGTGGGTGCACCGAGACATTAAAGGGTGCAACTACTTCGTGAGCCAAGATGGGCACGCGTTGCTTGCGGACTTTGAGGGCTTTTGGAAGAGCGGCATGCCTGCGATTATGTACGGAGAGGAGGTCGAAATCATATTTACGGAGCACTACATTGCCCCCGAGCTTACGTTTGACGGGGAATATCAGGTCTTTGACTTCAAAACCGACGTCTTCGCTCTAGGAGTTACTTTCAAGGAAATGCTAGAGTGGGTGGGCCATCTAGAGGTGCCTGAGAGGGACCTCGCAGAGGACCTCATCAGGCATATGACCGATCCACACGCGGAAAGCCGGTACGACCTTAGGGATTGCATGGAGCATCCTTACTTTGGTGGGCTTGACTTTGATCTTGTTGAGAAGAAAATGTATGGGAAGGCATTTGAGGGGAATTACCAGACGCCATACAAGTTTCTCTGATGTGCTGGACAACCCCAGACAGACAGACACTGTAGGCCCCCCCACTGCTTCTTTCTCATCCTGCACACTGTATGATATAGGGAGAGAAAGAAAGAGGGGTATTTCAAGGGACAGTCGGCATTGGGTGACCCCATGCATCTGTCCCCTGGGACCGCAACATGACAGAACGGACGGCAGTAGACAGCACCCTGGCGGGGGCCCATAGGCCCCCCGCGGTGCTGTGCTTGGGTCTTTGTGCCTCTTCCCGGGGCCCCGGGTGATTTTCTTGTGGCTCATTGGCAGGTTGTTAGGTTAGGTTCAGACAGAACTACGATGCCCCACGGAAGACAGGCACCTCTTGCCACCTCCAGAGGGCTTCCTCGTCAGTGGTTTCAGGCTGCTGCGATCCCTGCTGCATGCCGAGGGTCACGCGGCGCTCAAAAACAGACTTGTATTGCTGCCATTTGAGGCCAACTATTTTCAATAAGCCACTGCGTGTAGCAAACTACACACTGGTGAACAGCCGCTTGGTGGCGTACACAACGCGACTGTACACCAGCGCCCCAGGCATGCTCGTCACTAGGCGCGCTTGCCTCTTCCTCTCTTCAGGAACGAAGGCCGGGAGACGTAGAATGCAGGCAAGAGGGTAGTACAGAGTTTAGGCAGTTACTCTTGTATGCCATTTAAGGTTGAAACCCTACGTACCGAAAACCATAGTCTGTGACCAATTTGTATGTAGTTTCTCTCCATCAGCAGGGGAACTAAGCCCTTAAATTGGGGACCCCAGATCCCTCAGAGGAAGCACTGCTACTAGGCAGTAGAGCGGGCGCCAAATTTTATGTAAATTAGAGACACAATTGCGGAGCCATACGGAAAGTGAAGGCTAACGGAGGCCTGTAGGGTGTACCTGCATAACTTCCGGTGGTTTCAGTTTGTGCTGGGCTGCATATGCTGGAAATGTTGCTGCAGCAGGTGCTGCAGCAGCAGTGCCACTACTTTGACATTTACGGAGTTGCCCACGAGGGCTGCCCGCTTGCGAAAAGACAAAGAGGGGGGAAAAGCAAAAGACTCGGGGAATCCATGCAGCCGAAGCAATTCCCGAGATGAAAAGAAACGGATAGTTTCCCCTGCACGCAAACGACGGAAACGGCTCCGTTCTAAAGTCTCCGGAGAAAGCACTGCAGCTGCTGTTGCTGCAGCAGTCGCTGCAGCCGTTACAGCAGTTGGTGATTCAGGTGAGGCTGCTCTAGCCGCTGCTGCTTGAGCTCTTCCCGCTGTTGTTGCTGCTGCTACAGCGGATATTGCTGTAGGGCTTGTTGGCGGAACGAGGAGGAGGGGCCCTCCGGAGTGGAGGTTGCGTCCGTACCCCTTGGTGAATGTACCGCATGCAGTGTGGCTCGGGCTGACTATTTCAAGCCTGAAACCGTTGCTGCTCTGAGACGGCGGGTTTGTGCTTATCTTATACACATTAACCGCCTCGATATCCCCTTCTGCATCGTTCCCCCCATCGCCGGTTTCTGTATCGCTATACTCTCCCTCTCTCTGATCTGCACCTCTGGGCCACTCCCCCGCTGTTGCCTCCTTCGTCTCTGTCTCTTTGCGCTTACTCTTCCCTGTCTCCGTGTCCTGCGTATGCATGTCTATAAAACGGCAGAGACGAGCGGCAGGGATGTGCAGAGCCTGCTGCTCCTCCGGCGAAATGTTTGCCTCCAAGAAGTCCCCTATGCAACGTAGGTGAAAGGTTTCATGTAATGTGGGGGCTCCAAGGGCCCCTGAAGATACAGCGGGGGGCATTAGCTGCAACTGACAAGCCTCCACACTGATACTTGAAGACACGTCCAACTGGCCTTGGTTGACAAATTGCGGCTGCTGTTCCTGCTGCCGTTCTCGCTGCTGCCACGCGCCTACAAACACACCCTGCTGTTGCGGACCTCGCTGCTGTTGCTGCTCTGAAAGCAGGGATTGCAGGCTTTTCTGCCGGGGCTCGGTTGCGTCTCTACAGGCCAGACAGTAGTATCTGACTCTTGTATTTGGAATGCCTATTTGTGTGGGGGACAGAAGGAAGTGTTCAACTCGGTAAAGTTGGCCGCAAAGCACCTGTTGCATTCGTGTCCAGGTGTCTGAGCTCTCAAAGCCCCTGACATTTTCTAAGAATATGAACTGAGGAGGAGAGCAGCATTTGCTAAGCAGCTGCAGCAAGTGCAAGAAGCCTGTGGCCCTGCCGTCTCTGCTGTCTAGTTTCTTGCCTCCCCGTGTGTACGGCTGGCATGGAGGGGACAGCAGCCATATGTCTGCCTGCCCGTCTACCTGCTGCAGGGACAGATGTTCTATAGATACGCAAATCGGCGAAGTTCTGAAGTTGTGCTTATACACCGCGTTGGCTGTTGCACTGATGTCATACGCCCCCACAACTTCGGTAGCTATCTCGCAAACCCATTCCCGCCGCAGATTCTCCAGTGCCTCAGAAAGACCCACACGCAGGCCTCCTATGCCGCTGAAAAACTCAAGGACACGCAGTGGGGCCCCCCTCCCTCTGGGGCCCTCCGAGCAAGCAGGGCTCCCACCAAGTCCTGAAGGGAACCCATTAGGGCCTGTGGGGCAAGCCAAGGTGCTGCCGGCTGGCATGCAGAAGCAGGTTAGAAGAAAACCTATACAAGGAGAATAGAGTTATGCGGTCTCGGGACAACAGCTGCAGCCTTGACAGGCAATTCCAATCCCCATTCACTGAGCCTTAGAGGTAGGCTTGGGCTCAAGATGACGAAGTGGTAGAGACAGAAGAGTCTTGCAATGTCATTAGGTATACGTCTAGCTGTCGTGCCTCCCTTACTCCTTCCGCGCTAACTATTACGGTGGGGCCGCCCTCCCATAACCGTCCCTTCAAAATATTGCATGATTTTATTTCATTACCATTCCAGCGCAGTACAGGAATATTTTATTTGCTTTCTTCTGACCGGAGGTCTTTTCGCTGGGCAGCTGAGGACCCCCTGTGGGGCCCCCGAATCCCGTCTGTATCTGAGGCGGTAGAGGGTGCCTCACCTGCTTTCCATTGGGTGCCCAGTTCGACGCTTATGTGAGTTTGCGCAGTTCAATGCAAGTAAAAAGTCCGGTTATAGGGTATTAGGTGTAGTTTTTTGCTGGCGGTGTTATTACACTTTATAGAGTTCACCGGCGCGGAAAGTAGGCCGCAGTTGGGCCCAAAGGCTCCTGCTGTGTGCGCATAGGACGAAATAGTTCCTTATGAACCTGGAACATGACGTTCTACTCAGGATTTATTGCAATGCACCTGTAAGCATGCGCTAAGTTTAGGCTACAGGTCCTCTGCAATGTAGTATGAAGGTGTATGCTGTTCCTGGGGCAGATGTTTCGCGGTCTGCCGTAAGTTGGTCAATGCATTTACTCCTGGGTGTATCTCAAGGAAGCGTTTAATAATTGTGTACAATGTTAGTTCATGCAGCAAACGGGGACTTGGGTATTGTAGCATGGTGTGCCCGAAGTTTGGACATGAGCACTTACTAGTTTGTGGCCTGCATGCAAAAAAAGTACAGCAATTGTCTACAGTGCTGTCGCAGAGAGCAAAGGGTGGTTTGGTTGTGTTTGCACCTTTAGGTGCCCTGGATTCCATAGCTCCGCATCTAGTTCAAGGGATTTTCCAAAGGCGGACAAAAAACTTTATGGAGAGTGAAACAAGACGAAGCCGTCAGAAGTCTCATTACGCACCTGGCATCGTCGCCAGTTCTTGCGTTTCTTGACTTCGGCATACTCACTGTCCTACCGGCAGCCACTAATGTTACACCGATTGGGGTGGTAACCCAAGCAAACGCGTGGCACCCACATTGCTTCAGAGAACGAGTGCAGGAGGTGCCTATCAGACAGCTGCTTGCTAGGCTTCAGTGTTAGGCCCATATCTCTGGGGAGCGCCTCATATCCCGCCTTCTACACTAGTATGCGCGTCACAAATGTCTAGAACGTCCTAGGCCGGTAAGCTCGCTTCTAACTGGCAAAGCGAGGAGGAAAGCAGAGCTTAAGGAGATGAAACTGAAAATGCAGCCGAATGTTCTGATCATTTCCATAGAAGTACTTGTTTGCTTATTTACAGGGCACTTTAGGCTCAGCAACTAGGTTGCAGCTAGTGGAAACACCTCCGTGTGGAGAAATGCGCTGAGGAACAAGCAGAAGAGCGTACAATAGGAACACTGACAGCGGCAATATGCTTACTTAGTATGACTAAACAACGCTGAACTCAAGAGGTTCACCTTGCGCAGGAACACGCGTCAATGTGAGGTCAAGAAGGCCTCGAACCTGAAAACAGCTGGTGGGATAATACTTTCAGCTCACCATGTGGCACCAATGGCTTTGCATTTGACAATGCAGAACGTTTCGTGATGAAAGTTCATGCTCGTCAGTTCTCTTCACCCGAATGTGTAACCACTTGCAGCTACCTTAGACTTTTGAGTTAGTCATCCCTGGGGACTGGAGGCTACTGCTGTGGTCAGCTTTTCTCTAGTCAGCATTCGTGCGAAGAGTTTGCGTCTTCACCCTCTGCCAACACCGATGTCTCAGGCTCAATGTAAATTCGCACAAGCCAAGCAGCATTTTCATCCTCAGGGAGCAGACCCGAATCCTGAATAAGTTGCTCAACAGTTATTTACAACTACTTAGGATTATAACAATATATGGAGCTAGTTGATGAATGTGTAGTGTCAGCACTATCATCGGCACACACATATTTGCGGACCGATGTCAAAATTATGCACTCCATTAAATGTGAAGCTTGACAAGCAATCTCGTTGTGCCAAACCCACGGGGAAGTAGTAAATACGTTTTTCATGACTAATTTGCAACAAAGCGCTACGCACTGTTCTGCTTGTATGCGGATCGGCAAACCTCACAGCCAGCGGTCATCAAAGATGTTCCTACTCTATCGAAGTATAGGACGAGAATAGTTGTTCATTTGCGTATCAAACTCGCCCGCCCCACCTTCGAAATAATGGCTGCCCAAGTATTTCTGCGATCGAATGTCAACTCAAAAAGACTTGGAGTGTATTTTTGGCACTTCTCTTTCCTCCTATGTAATGGAGACAGCATTGCAGCCCAGCATGTGGAAACGACTATGCTGGGTATCACCACTGGAAGGTCCATTATCGTAACTGTCTTGTCTTCAGTTGGGCAGGTCCATGCTGCTTCTGCTGTTAATTAAGTGTCACTTGAACTGAATGATATGTTTCCCCATTTATTGAAAGGTTTCAAGGCGGTTAACTTACTTGTTGGTCACGGCAACGCCTGTACAGCAGCAGCAGCAGCAACAGGAGAGACCTGGCGATCCTGTCCAGTCTCATTACTTGCCTTCTCATAAAACAATGATTATCGTTCTTTTATTGTAGAGTATGCTGAAGCTGTTGGAAGAGCTGGGATATGCGCCCTGCCATTGCCTTCTAGCCGCTAGACCTCAACAGTATCATCTGGTGTCCGCATGTGAGCCTTTTCCAGAATTGCTCACGGTGTGCCAGGGATCATCGTGTGGCTGCGTTGTGCACCCCCTGTGCACCTATAGTTGTATCGAACCTCAGCCTGCGGAGTGGTGCAGCAGGGACTGCATAAGCGATTAGACGGAGCCAAAGCTTCATAGAACAAAATCAATTTTCACCCCACGTCAATTAGTGCTAGCCACTCCCGAACACTACTGCATCATGCTTTGCGCGATGGCCATGACGGGGGAGTCGAAGCCTTCCTGAATCCGCTGGGTATGGTATCTCTGCCTGTAGGAACAACGTTCGAGGCTAGTTCGCCCTCCTCTACGCTCCGCTGGATTGGCTGGCTCATGATTCGTCTTGTGTTTCGTCTGTCTTGCACATTGGTGGGGCTGCTCTTAAGACCCACAATATCAGTAAAGGCGGTTGCTTTTCTTTCGTTCTTTGACGTGTAATCACTCCTTCATTTTGGCAAGTTTCAGGTGTTCAGCGCTCTCTGCCGCTCAGCCAGTTGCAGCCCCACGAAGAGAAGTTGACAGCGATGCTTCAAATTCCCATGCGTTGGACTATACGCTCACTGGGGGTGTCTGCTAGGGTGCTTTAAGTTACATTCACTGCCTTTTCGTCGGAAAGTGCGATACTGCGATGCATCCCTCCTGCGTAGTATGCCTTAGGCTAGCTCTCTGTTGTACCTTGAAAAGCATTACCTTTCAATGCTGTGGCGGACCCGGCAAGCAAGCTTCTTCCGCGGGGCCCTCAAAGCCGGCCACTACACAGGGAAGTCCGATTGCCAAAAAACCGATGTCTGCATGATCTACGCAGGATGAGTCAAGACTGGTTGATTGTCTGTGCCCTCGCTTGTGGCTCTTCGATGAGCCACAATGAATGATAAGCTTGCAGCCAGCCCCACAAATAAGCTCCAGCACTAGTTGAGTATCAATTCCAGTCCCTTAAGTAAGTTGTCACCCAAAACACGAAAGTATATTCTGCGTCCATCCTGGATCAGCAATCTACAATAAAGCCTTACAATCCCACCGGTATAATTATACGAGGACAGCTTGGCGTGCATCGACCTCTACTAATTTTCCAGCAAATATA